ACAAGTACCTGAAAATTAATGTGCCTGGCCCCTAGTTCTCTCCACATTTTCAGGTGAGAGCTGGAATGCGGCAACATCACACATGCTCTTATTACGGAAGGTGGGTTCTGAAAACCGCAGTAGGAACGTCCAGCTTTGTCCTGGAGTTGGTTTAGGGAGCAGTCAGAGCCAGTGACAAGGAGCACAGGACCAGATACTGGGCTTCACGCATTCCAGACAGGAGCTCCTAGATGCATACAGAGTCCCCACCACGTGTGGGTTCACTTCCACATCTGTAAATGGAGAAAATATTGACTCCTACAGAACATAATTTACACAAATATTTAAAGATGAAATAGGGTGATCAGGGCAAAGTGCTTATCACAGTACAATTTCATAATAAGGCAGCATATTTTCCAAATTCCATCATTATCTGCAAACTTCTGCAGGGCACCGTCTTATTATCTAGGTACAGCCTACTCCTCAAGCGTCCCACCCTGAAGCTTGCTATATAGTAGGAGACATGCAAATAGGGTCCTCCCTCTACTGATGAAAACCGACCCAACCCCTGTCTCTTATACACATCTAGATGTGTATAAGAGACAGGCTATATAGTAGGAAACATGCAAATAGGGCCCTCCCTCTACTGATGAAAACCGACCCAACCCTGACCCTGCAGCTCTGAGAGAGGAGCCTTAGCCCTGGATTCCAAGGCACTTCCACTTGGTGATCAGCCCTGAACACAGAAGACTCACCATGGAATTGGGGCTGAGCTGGGTTTTCCTTGTTGCTATTTTAAAAGGTGATTCAGGGAAAACTTGAGAGATTGAGTGTGAGTGGATATGAGTGAGAGAAACAGTGGGTTTGTGCGGCAGTTTCTGACCAGGCTTTCTCTTTGTTTGCAGGTGTCCAGTGTGAGGTGCAGCTGGTGGAGTCTGGGGGAGGCTTGGTAAAGCCTGGGGCTTCCCTGAGACTGTCCTGTGCAGCCTCTGGATTCACCTTCAGTAGTTATGGCATGCACTGGGTCCGCCAGGCTCCGGGAAAGGGGCTGGAGTGGGTCTCATATATTAGTAGTGATAGTAGTTACATATACTACGCTGACTCCGTGAAGGGCCGATTCACCATCTCCAGAGACAACGCCAAGAACTCGCTGTCTCTGCAAATGAACAGCCTGAAAACCGAGGACACGGCCGTGTATTACTGTGCTAGAGACACAGTGAGGCGAGGTCAGTGTGAGCCCAGACACAAACCTCCCTGCAGGGGCGCGCGGGGCCACCAGGGGGCGCCCGGGACACAAACCTCCCTGCAGGGGTCCCCGTGACCACCAGGGGGCGCCCGGACACTAAGCTCGGGGCTGTCTCCAGAGCAGGAGCCGGAGCTGCTAAGGCCTGGCTTCCTGTCATGGTCTGCGGCTGCCTCATTGTCAAATTTCCCCAGGGAACGTCTCCAGATTTACAATCTGTACTAACAGTTCATGTCTGTAAATGCAAAACGTTTTTGTCCTTTTTGTTTCTTTGTTTTTTTGTAACAGGAAGACACAGCCTCACCTCCATAGAAACAACAGTGCCACTTTGGGTGCAGATAATCCTCCTGTGATCAGCAGGATGAAAGTCCCGAGGACTCTCAGGGGAACCTGGAGAGTGTTTGCCAGTTAGATTCAGGGCAGAGACCTCCATGGGAATCTCTGATTAGAACAGGCTTTGAGTTCTGATGGGAGCCAAGAGAGACGCTCACTCAGGGTCAGGGTCCTTAAAACCTGATGGTTTTCACAGTTATCCCCCCTCGTCTTGTAAAACTGTGCACATCTGACTCAGACTGATTCAGTTGACAGTCTCTCTCTATATATTCTCTCTCTCTCACGCACACACAAGCACGCGCACACACACACACACGTCCTACAATGAAAAGATCATATGATCAAGTAACAATATGATGGCTGCTCTGAGCCAAAAGTGGAAGGCTCAAAATAAAACCTATCTTCTCAGCATCTTGATCTTGGAGTTCACAGCACGGATAAATGAAATAAAATGAATGCTGCATGAGTCAACAAGTATGATAGTTTGTAATGGCAGCTTAAACTGATGAAAGAAAATTTGGGGTTCAGAAGTGGAATTCTGATGTTACAATTATTTAAACATTTTGAAAGTAGCTTGGAATTGGGTTGTGTGTAAAATGATGGATACCATTGACATACATGAAGAAATTTTTATATTGAGGGTCATTCCGAAAGACAGAAATGAGTAGAGTGGTTTTGGAAAGTGGAGGAATGGTGATCCTTATCATAAATTTGTTAAAAAGAACTTGGCTGGACCACGTTATAAAATTTAGTGAATGATAACTTGTGACTAGTGAGAACTTGTGAGTAGCTGAGAATAATTCTAAGTACAGTGTTGAAGGTATTTTGCTTGGTTTCTCCTGAGTGCTTATAATAAGTGAGGTAGATAAATTAAAATCAGAAAGACTATAAACTAAAAAGAATACAAAAGCTGAAGGCTTAGAAAATTCCCAACCTATCCATATTGCAAAAATCAGAAAGTGTATTCTACAAAGAACACTGAGTATATGGCTCAAATATCACTTAGTAAGAAGTCTAAGATACTCTATGAAAAGAAACATTTCCAGTTTTAAAGAATGAGAATTGACCCAAGTAAATTTGAAGAATACTGTTAGATTTTTCAGATTTAATGGCCTGGAATAATAGAGCTATTTGGCTGGAAATGTACATGATTCTTCTTGAAGGGAGAAAAATAAGCTTTAAATTTATTTAGAAACCATCAGACCACTGCCTTTATTTTAACAGACTAGAAAACCTGTTTCTATAATCTTGAGGAAGAAACCACCCAACAGAGGCTTGGGTTGGGAGCACCCAGCAAGCCCTGTGTGTAGGGCTGATGAGGCCTTTGACATGGGAGCTTGGCCTAGCAGTGCCTCAGGAGTGGTGCCTCTGCCTGCAGCCTTGGAGCTGATTCTGCTGCCCCAGTAAGCGGAGAAGGAAAAAGATTTTTCTGGGGAAGGTTACACCGGGGGCTTAAAGCCTATGGCAATTTGTTCTGCTATGCATTGTAGTTGCTGGAGACATACCACCCATTTTGCCCCCTATTTTTTTTCCTTTGGCAATGAAACTGTCTATTCTATGCTTAATTCTACAGGACACAGCAGAGGCTGCATCCTGTGTGACAAGATTCAGCATGAAAGGCTCCTATTACCTGAGCCAGAAGCATCACTGATCTGCGGCCATCAGTTTCTTAGGTTCATATCACTTTAAGGGACCAAGTACAAATGTCTATGGCGTATGTCATTCTTAAACTGCAGAAATGGTGTCGAGGAAGAAGGTGAAGATGAGAGAGCAGGAGGAATTACGAAAATCCAGATAGCATCTTCTCTTCTAGAGTGGAAGGTACACTAGTACTTTTATGAAACAATAAAATAGATGACATGTGTCATCATCATGGAGTGTCTCACAGGGGCAGTGCACAAATAAATTTCTAAATATATCATCAGGTAGGTGTAATGGATGAGGCTTATTTCCACACAGGGAGCCCATAAATACCCAGAGAAGTAAAAAATCCAACACCTGGAAAGAAAAATGCCTCATCTTGACATCACAAACCCATCTCAGTAAGTTCGAGGAGTAATGTGGAAATGAAAAGGAAAATTCAAAAACATGTTTGTCATGAAATTTTTAGCACATGTTTGAACATTAAAACAGAATTGTCCACAATTTTAGGAAAACCACCCCATGCCACCGAATCACTATAGTCATCGAAACACTACTGAGACAACGGAGTTCTAACTGTGAGCAGGTCAGTACTGAGGCCTCGGGAGAATCAAGGCTCTCGGGTACATTTTACAGAACCCAGAATTGAGCCACACGATCTATAGCCAAAAGATCTTTGACAAACTTCACAAAAAATTAACAAAAATATACACCAGAAAAAGGACACCCCATTCAATAAATGGTGCCGGGGAAATTGGAAACCAACATGCAGAAGAACAAAACTAGACCCCTACCCTCAACACACACACACACTCAACACAAAAGGAATTAAAGACTCCTGCATGAGACCTCAAACTATAAATGTACTCAAATAAAATGCCAGGACAACTCTTCTGGGCATTGACCTAGGTAAAGAATTTATGACTAACACCACCAAAGAACATCCCAGAAAAAAATAGATAAATGAGAATTAAACTAAATAGATATTTCACAGCAACAGAGTGAACAGGCAAGTTGCAGAATGACAGAAATTTTTTGCACACCTTGCCTGTGACAAGAAACTAATATGAAGAATTTACAAGGAATTAAGCTCTACAACAACAATGGGAAGAAGAACTAAATAACCCCATTAAAATGAGCAAAGGACATGAGTAGACATTTCCAAAGAACACATACAAATGGATAATACATATATAAACAATGCTCAACATCACTAACCAACAGGGAAATGCAAATTAAAACCACAATCACATATTATCTTACAAAAGCCACAGTGACTATTATTAAAATCTCAAAAGTATCAGATGTTGGTGAGGATGGAAACTAACAGGAACTCATCAACGCTGTAGATGAGAATGTGGACGAGGACAACCTCTATGGAAAATGGTACGGAGTCTTCCCAAAAAACTGTAAATAGAACTGCCATTTGATTCAGCAATCCCACTATAGGGTACCTACCCAAAGGAAAATAAATCATTACTTCAAAAAGATATCCATGCTTCTATGTTTACCACAAAACTATTCTTAATAGCACACATGTCAACCCGAGCGTCCACCAACAGATGATTTTATAAAAGAACATAGCACACAAGCCCAATTCAATACTAGTCAACCATGATAAGAAATGAAACTGTCTTTGCAGCAAGAAGCCTAGAACTGGGGACAATATAATTAGTGAACTAACTCACAAACAGAAAGTCACATGTCATACGTTATTACTTATAAGTGGGAGGTAACAGTGTGTCCATAAGGATATGGAGAGAGAAATGATGGACACTGAAGACTTAGAAGGATGGGAGGTGGAAGGTGGGAGCATGAGGAGACATTACCTAGTGGGTACAA